CTGGTGGTGATGATTACAGAACATGAACGTACTTAATGCCACAGTGCAGTGCACTTAAAAGTGATTAAGATGATAAATTTTGTGTTGTATATTTTATCACAACTTAAAAAAATAGTCTCTATCTTTGCAGCAGTGGAAACAGACTAGGAAAAAGGATGCATTTGATTTGATGGTATTCCAAAGCTGGGGGAGGCACGTAACTACCCCTCTTCCCTACACCCAGCAAAAGCCCTCTTTTACCTTCTTCACATTCACACCATCTTCAACCAGCAGGAATTTGGGGAAGCAACACAGAAGTTGCTTTGGCCAGCAGCTGGGAAGGGAGCCAGCCTGATTCCCATCAATGCATCGGACCTGGAAAACCATGCCAGGTCTCCAGCCCCGAGGCCAGTGGCTGTCTATGGGATGACTTGAAACATCTCAGCCTCCTGGGTGGGGCTGCCCCACTCTTTATTTTCAGAACTCACCACTGCATATTGTGAAGACTGTGAATCAGCCTTCTAAAATGTACCCCAACACCCTTGCTCTCATTAGAGCCCCTGGGATGTGGTGACGGACAGTCCCTAATCCTTGGGGCCACACCAAGGCTGGAATGCACAGGCTCTGTCGCAGGGGCATTTGGTCTTGTGGCTTTGTTACAGCTTAGGCATCTTATTCCACCAGACAAGCCTAAGAGGCCTCTGAGGATCCTTCCAGCCCTGGACTAATAATTCACATCGAGTTAAACAGCTTTGTTCACTGCAGGACTTCTCAGGGCCTTTACAATTTAAATGTTAAAGCAAATTGCCAGAGAGGGGTGTAGGATGCAAACTTGGACCCAGGAGAAGATACTGTAGGATTCATGTTCTAAGCAATACTGGGGAGTGCCAGTGTCCAGGTGTCCTGCCTTCACTGGGGTCCAGAGAAGACTTGATGGTGAAAGTCCTCCTTTGATCTGTAGAATCGAATCCCTGATGCAGCCATTCCCCTTCAGAAATTAGCATATGTGGTGACAGCTCACCTGGCAAATCTGGTTCCCATGCCAGGAGACAATGAAGAAGGTGCCTCAGGCCAGTGCCCTGCACAGAATGTTCCCCAAACATTCCTGGTGTTTGGAGGTGGGATGGCTGCAGCTGCATTGACCTGATCTTCAAATGAGAAGAAACTTCTCACTGCCCTACTCAAGAGCATTTCCTGGGGAAGCTTCACCTGTGTTCCTTCGAGAACATTTCTTTTAGGCCTTTGGTTCATGTTGTCTGTGACTTGGCCCCTGCCGTGTTCCTGCAGCTGAAACTCAAGCACCTGCAGAGAGGCTGGTTGAATCTCGCCAGCACCTTTGTCACTGCTCAATAAGGTGCATCCAGTTTAGCCAGCTTCAGGAACACGCAGCCTACATGGTCGCACAGGGCCCAAGCCCAGAAGAGCCCTGCACGTTTGGTTTGGTGCTCTGTTCTCGCCACCTTGAAACCTTGAAATTCTTTTTTTTTTTTTTGAAAAGGAGTCTTGCTCTGTCACCAGGCTCACTGCAACATCTACCTCCCGGGTTCAAGCGATTCTTCTGCCTCAGCCTCCCAAGTAGCTGGGATTACAGGCGCCCGCCACCACACCCAGCTAGTTTTTTGTATTTTAGTAGAGACAGGGTTTCACTGTGTTGGCCAGGATAGTCTCAATCTTCTGACCTTATGATCTACCTACCTCGGCCTCCCAAGGTGCTGGGATTATAGGCATGAGCCACCATGCCTGGCCAAAATTCTTAATAATCTTTAAATGAGGGACTCCCATTTTCATTTTGCACTGAGACTTGGAAAGTATGTGTCGGGCTCTGACCAGAGGTCCTCTCGGGCCACATGGTGAGGTGCCAATCAATGACCTCGAAACAGAGCTTCTGCCCCACTCCCTGACAGGGCACATTTGCATTGCAGAGAACGTGCACACAGCCAGTTTAGCGACCTTGAGCCCTTGCAGAGTGCAGGCCACAGCCGTGAGCAGAAAGCACACCATATTTTTGTTTTTGAAGCAAAGTCTTGCTCTGTCTCCCAGGCTAGAGTGCAGTGGCACAATCTCAGCTCACTGTTCTCATGCCTCAGCCCCGGAGGAGCTGGGACTATAGGCATGTGCCACTACACTAATTTTTGTGGTTTTGGTAGAGATGAACTTTTGCCATGTTGGCCAGGCTGGTCTTGAACTCCTGACCTCAGGTGATCCACCCACCTTGGCTTCCTAAAGTGCTGGGATTACAGGCGTGAGCCACCACACCCAGCCACCACATTTGTTGGAGTTACGAAAATCTCCTTTGCCAAAACTCACCCAGGTTTATGGATCACTGATTAGGGAAAATGAGAAATTTCTTGTGTGCCCTGTAGTAGGGTATCCAGAAGAAGCAGGCTGCATGCGGTTGGGCAGGGAACATATGATGGACTGGACACAGGGCCAACCTGTACCGTAGCTCCGTCACGGCCCTCCCCCACCACTGCCTGCCTGCTCTGCCCCTACAGACAGAAGCGACATGTCCCCCTGCTGACACAGGTGGCTGTCGGGAGCCTGCACTCCCTGGTGGGTGCCCCCACAAGCTGCCCTGGGTGCCTCCCAGGCTCCATGTTGCTCCTGCTGGTGGAAGTCACTGTGGCCGCCTCCCCCTGCCCTGCTCTGGGTCAGGCAGGCTCATTTTAGCTCTCTTCACCCACCTGCAGCTTCCACCAAATTAAACCATCCTTACACCAGGTACTTACAACAGAAAAAGAGGCCCAATTATTTGTATTTTCAGACCAAAAAAATGTTAAGTGGTACCAGACACCCAACTCTGTCCTCCCATACCTGGTCCCAGGGTGGGGTTCTTTATAGACGTGGCATCTTTCCCTCGGGGCACATGGCTCCTGTTCAGGACTGGGCAGGGAACTGAGGTCGGGTCTCGGGTATTGGAGGAACAGGTTGAGGTGATTTGTGGGTGGCAGTTGAGGGAGGGATCTGCTTGGCTCAGCTTCTGTCTCTGACTTGGGAGAACATGTCTGATAAGGGGCATCCTGCTCACAACTGCACAGTTATCTGTGATTCATGATTCAGTTCAACGCCCTTGGCAGCCAGAGTGACTGTCTCTTTTCCATGAGAAGGGAACATCTCAAGTTTACACAGGAGGATTCTGCACAAGGTTGGCCCCTGCTCTGCCTTTCTTATGCTAAACTCAAGGTTACAGAGGCAAAGGGGAACATTATTGAATTTCCCATGAACCCTTTCCTCTGTGCCATCCCGCCAGAATGACAGTGAAGCGATGTATCCCTCAGGACTACAGACACGCTGGAGGGAAAAGTTCAAAGGGCAGCGTGAACTCGGCCTTTCTTCCTGGAAGGTTCTCAAAGTCCCTCCCAAGAGAGCTGCTCTGCCTTAAATAATAGAACCATTCAGTTGCTTTCACTGGGCACTTATCGGGTACAACACAAAATACAAGGCACTTCACTCTCAGAAACCCCATCTTGCAAGTTGGAGAACTGTGTATTAAAGAACTAAGTCATTTGCCTGTGGACACCCAGCTAGGAACTTAGTAGAGCTAGAATTCTCGTCCAGATTGACCTGAGTCTAAAGCCATGAGCTCCCACAGGGCCGCCATGCCTTTTTCTCTCAGCCTGGTGGCTATAAACCCAGTCAAAGAGGACGAGGGAGGAGTCCAGTGGAAGCTAAGTTCCCATCACTGCCGCTGTGCAGGTTCAAAGCCCTCCCCCCACCCACATACACCCCCCACAGAGCAGCTTCTTGTTTGAATTACTGGGGTCATCCTTTTAGGCCGTGTTCTGAAGTCCCCTTCACCCCAGGTGAAAGTGTTAACATTTTCTGTGGGCCACGGCCACCTTCTGCATACAAAGCCGCCTGTAACCTAACTGATCATAATTAGATTTTTAGCACATAATTACAAGATTAATGGATTAATCATAGTTTATTTGCAAATCATTAAAAGCATTACTCAAAAACACTTTCCCTAAAGATTGTTTGGGTTGCCCAGGGCAAGATAATTAACAAGACAGAGGGAAAAAAATGAAAAACACAAAACCATCAACCTCATTAAAGATAATCAAATAAACCCTCCAGTTGACTGAGCTAGCTGTGCAGCCTGCAGTGGGCTGAGAACCCTGGTCTGTTCCTTGGTGCTGAATTGACTCTTCAGGTACACGTTAATGAATTACTCTGCCTAAATACTTCCCCGTCTTTCCTTTTTTCCGGAACAGCCTCCATTTGATGGTGAAGATGAAGATGAACTGTTTCAGTCTATCATGGAGCACAACGTGTCCTATCCAAAATCCTTGTCCAAGGAGGCTGTTTCCATCTGCAAAGGAGTAAGTCGATTCGGATACCTTTTGTGATCACGAACCAAGAGCTTTGGTAGGAGAAATACCTCCCCCGCACTTCTAAGAGAGATGGCAGAAATACCGCAGACCCACACTACTGCATTTTGGCCATCGAGGGTGGGGGCTTGGTGTCACGCAGGGCACAGTGGGGAAAGTGAGGGCTGGGAGAACGGATTGGAATCCCAGTACTTCCTGGGACTCTGGCCCAGTCACCTAATCATGGTACTGCACTTTTAATTCTAATCCATTTCATAAAATTGTGGTGGGGACTGCCAGGTATCATCACAGGCCCTTAGAAAGAGTGTGCTCTCATCTCCTGTCCCACTTGGTGTGACTCAGTTAGTTCTTTGTTTACCACGCTTTTTATGAGCTATTCATACATACAGAAATGGGCACACATCATCAATATGCTGATAAATGAATCTTGATGAGACGCATCCACCTATGTAATTGCACTCAGCTCAGAAAACCATGTTTCCAACATCCTGGAAGCCCCCTCTGGTCCCGGCTACAGTCATTACCCCGCCCCAAGATAACCTGCCTCCCAACTTCAGATAGCATGGATTGGTCTCGCCTGTTTCCAGCTCTGCACAGACCGAGCCTTGCATTGTTGCTCCTGGCCTGGCTGCTTTCTCAGTGTTGTGATTGAGGATTCTCTCTGCATTGCTGTGTGGGGCTATAGTCCCTCCTTTCATATTGCTGTGTCGTGTTCCACTGTGTGAACGCCATCATTCCTTTTCCATTTTACTTTTGGTGGATATTTGGATTGTTTCTGCTGTGGTTTGAGGCTATTGCAAACAGAACTGCTGTGAACCTTCTGGGGCATGTGTTTTGGTGAGGATATGTACCCACTGTGGTTGAGGAACTGCTCTAGGAATAGAATTGCTGATCATGACTTGTCTAGTTTTGAATGGTCAAGAGTTGGGTCACAAAGTTATTTTCAGGCTTAGTAAGATGGAGTACAATATGCCCTTAACATTATCTGGTGAGTGTGACCATTTGGGAGGCGTTTGCCACATGTCATCCAAGAGCAAGGCACTTGGAAGGGATACTGTGGTCAGGAGGAACTGGCTTACGTTTTCAAAGAGCGCATAGTCAGTGTTTGTGTCTTGCAATAGGCAAGTTGAAATTAACTAGACACCTTCCTTGTTATAGCACTTATTTTTCTAACCTATGAGTCTTTGATTGATAATATTTTAGCCCAGAAATTACATAGATATATGCTTTTTGGTGTTTTTTTATTTTGTTTTGGTTTGGTTTTTTGAGACACAGTCTTGCTTTGTTTCCCAGGCTGGAGTGCAGTGGCGCAATCTCGGCTCACTGCAACCTCCACCTCCCGAGTTCAAGCGATTTTCCTGCCTCAGCCTCCCAAGTAGCTGGGACTCACATGCACCACAAGGCCTGGCTAATTTTTTGTATTTTTAGTAGAGACAGGATTTCACCATGCTGGCCAGGCTGGTCTCGAACTCTAGACCTTGTGAGCCAGTGGCCTCAGCCTCCCAAAGTGCTGGGATTACAGGCGTGAGACACCGCGCCTGGCCCCGTATGATGCTTATTATAGCATCCTCTGTGATGCTAGACTGTGATGCTTTCAGCACATGCAGTTTTTAGTAATTGCATGCCTTTTTTTTCTTTAACCAGATATATGTATAGCATGATGGCTCCAAAACAGATAACATATGAGATGTCTGTTTAAATTCTTCTTCTTCCATTTGGCCGTGGGTTCAGATAGCTTTCCTGTTCCCTTATCTTGAAAACCACCATAGGAAGGGCTAAGCTTGCCGATGTCATTTTTGTGAGTTGGCTTCACTCTGTGCAAGCCACTGAGTGCCTTGGTCAGCTCTCTGAGATGCTGTCCAGGAGTCCACAAAGTTACAGCTGTAGGCAGCGCTAGGCCAATGGAAGGCGCTGTCTCTGGGAAGCCCTTGTGAGCCACTGTTCTCTTTTTCTCCTTTTCCTAGCTGATGACCAAACACCCAGCCAAGCGTCTGGGCTGCGGGCCCGAGGGCGAGAGGGACGTGAGAGAACATGCCTTCTTCCGGAGGATCGACTGGGAGAAACTGGAGAACAGGGAGATCCAGCCACCGTTCAAGCCCAAAGTGGTGAGTCCAGAAAAGCAGCTTGTTTCAGAACCCCATTTCTCCAAATTCTGGGAGTATCCCACTCATCTCTTTTCTTGGCGAGAGGAGGCCGGTGACCTCTGGCTTCTACAGGGTGAGGAAACCAGCCATGTTTCAGCCTTGTTCTCAGTCCTGTGGCCTCAGCAGCCAGGATCCCTGCTGCCTTCGCAGAGTAAGGACAGATAAGGCAGGGAAGGGGACCCTGTGCACACTTCGTCCTCCAGCTGGGTGGCTGCAGAGCACCCCCACACCATTAGGGAGTGAGGCCGGCTGTGCTTCGGGTCTGGACTTTGTGGGCTTGCACCCAGCAGGGCTGTATTCATAGCCCTCCATCCTCAGCTGGACTCAGACTTCGTGTCTGTCTCCAGCTTTCCTGGATTTGCCTGGCACTGATGGGAGCACAACCCCATCCTAGCCAGCTCCTAGACCGAGCCTGGACACCACTCCCACATCCTCCACTGCCACCACTGCAGGGACTAAGTGACAGCCGCCAATCCTGACGTTGCTGGCTTTTTTCAGATTCTCCCTGTTTGATTCCTTTTTTTTTTTTTTCTTCATTTATTTACACTGTGTGCCCGGCCCTGTTCTCAGTGCCTTACAAATCATCCCAACAGCCCTGTGAGATGCGTTCTATGCTCCCCAGTTTGCAGTGGAGAAAACAGGCACAGAGAGGCTAAGTTGCCAGAGGACACACAGCGGATAGGTGGTGGAACCGGGACGAATCGGTGTCCACCCACTGCACCATCGCTGTATCTCAGAACTGCCCTGACACTGAGGCTGCAGGCTCTGATTATTGAATGCAGCCAGCAAGTGCCTTTCATAATGTTTATATCTCTAGAGGTAAACTGAGAGCCTTAAGATGTCAGCCTCGTCACTCACCACCTGCCACTTTGCAGCGCCCCCAAAGGCGTCCTGTGCCTTCCCGCTCTGCCTCTGTCTTGGCATCGGGTAGCAGCCCGTTGTGCCTCTCCCCAGAGACTGCAGAAAGCCACTTTATTCCACAGTCAGTTTCAGAAGCATTGCATGTTGGTTTTGCTGAAATCTATCTCCTTTGACAGGTGCCCCATGAGCAGGCCAGGGCACCCGCCTGGGGTGGCAGAGTTACCGACTGGGTACACACAGCCTCATTCTTAGATCAGCAACTTCCTCACTGTGTGTGCCTCTGTGTCCTCTACCCCAAGAATAAAACTGCTGTGGGTGAGCCCACTGGATTTTATTTTTCTAAGATATTTTTAGCACACACTGAAGAAAAACTAAAATTAATCAGGTCAGTTGACTTCCTCCTGAATCATCATTTCAAATAAGGCCCTTATGTATCTGCCCCCCCACCTTTTCTTTAGCCAGCCCTGTGCACTGATTTTAGGGGGCTCTCATGGGCTCCTGTCCCTCAATATACATAACCTGGTTTGAAGGTTTTGGGGGGTGGGGAGAGTGATAAGTGATGCTGCAAGCGGCCTCAGTAGAAAATTCTGTTAGGGATTTTTTTCCTCTTTTGCCTTTAATATTTATTTGTCGTCTTGAATTATGAAGGTTATGCAATGGCATCTTGAACACAGCTTAGTTTCTTTATAGGAGCAACGTAGAGACGTTCCTGACCCTGCCTTGAGGGTTGAGCAAAATCCAATTACTTGTCAGTCAGTTTCCAGAAAGAGATGAGTTGCAGCAAAACCAACCATAACACATGCCTTCTTCTATTTATTCCCACCTCATTATGGCAGAAGAGGGTGTTTATTTGCATAGTCTCCCAGGTTTTAGTCCCACACTCGGATATAGGGAAGACCAGAGGGCGACTTGGTTCCGGTAGGCAGGAATGTAAACTGTTCCCTGCGGTCCGTGGAAATCCCTGGAACAAAGTTGTACCCACGGCAGGCAGCTGAATTAGAAGCAGTGTTTATTTACATTTCATTCCTGGAGCGCTACAGTTTTTGTTTTTGTTTTGTTTTGTTTAACTGAATGCTGGTTAAAATTAAGGAAGAATGAATTGCACCTGGCTGTGAAGAAATAGCCCCTGAACTCACAAATGGAGGCAGAAATTGTGGACCCAGGCCTTAAAACTGGAACTTTCAGGCAAAAAGTCCTGCTTGGTGAGAGCCCTGGCCAGAAGGAAGGGAGAGATTGCATCTCTTCCCAGAGAGATTTCTCAGGCAGAAGGCAGTTTTCTCCTGACCTGTGCCACAAAAGAGGAAGGAGCTAGAAAGAACAGATAGACAGGAAACGGGCCCACAGGGGTAACATTAATCATGTCAGTTGACTTCCTCCTGAATCATCGTTTCAAATAAGGCCCTTAAGTATCTGCCACCCCCACCTTTTCTTTAGCAAGTCCTGTGCACTGATTTTAGGGGGATCTTCTGATTTTGAAGCACATGGCTACCGGGGACCCACAGACACCAGGTCCAAAAGCAGAGAGCTTGACTGGCAGAGAGGTAAATGGGACAAGTTCTGGTTTCTGGAAGGGCAGCGATGTGCCTCTTGAGAGCTGTTTGCTCTTGTCCTTTCACGGGGCCAGGAGGCGGGGGGAGGTTCGTGGCAGCATGTCATGGAAGGGCACACACCCCAGCCTCCAGTGGTCCCTGAGGACCGCTCTGTTTGGTGACAACGTGCTGGAGCAGAGGCACCATGCCGAGAGCCATTTCCAGTGGTTGGAGAGGACATTTAGAACAGCAAACAGCAACCGAAGTCAAAGCTGCACGGTACGCCGCGGTTAACACAAACAGCAGGAGAGAACGAGCCACATAGAAAAGTTATTCTGGGATGTGGTTTTCCGTCTTACTTGGTGAAAAGCGCACTGTGGTTCCCTGATCCAGAGCTAACTGAAAAGGCAAATGTGTTTACAGAGCTGAGCATTCTCTGATGGGTGGTCATTTTGTTATTTCAAAGAGAGACGAGCAATGCAAGTCTAAACAGTGCTGCTGGGAGAACAATCAGGCAAACGTAATGCAGCCAGAGTCTCTCACCCGGAGCCCGTTTCTGAGCACTCTCACCTCTGAGCAGTTCTTAGAACCCTGGGTGACCAATCTTTTCCGTCTTGGTAAAGTCTGCCTGATGCTTTTTTAGCAAGTGCTGGTGAATCCATTTCTCTGAAACTTGCCGGGCTAAGGACAGGTTGCTGTTCTCACATGTGGCACCACTCCTGGCTCCCAAGGAATTAAACCTTTGCTTATTATGAAATACCAGTAGCAGGACTTCAGGTCCTCACAATTATTTGCAGACTGCTTCTACAGATCAGATTGAGCTTGTAGGACCAGGAGCCTATCATCTTTGTTTTATGAATTTTTACACTTTTTGAACCTCCAATGAACGAGTCTTCCAGAAAGAGGGTAGGGGTATTCCATTGCTGGACAGCCACAGAGCTTATCCGGGGGAATCAGCGTTCCTCTAGTGTGCCGTCTTCTAATCCTCTTCCTGACTGCCAGAGTGACTTTACTACAGTTAACCCTTAGACCGCAGCGCCATGCAAAATGTGCGATCCCACCGCAAAAAGCATCTCACCGTGCCGTGATCCGTCACTAGGTTAGCACGGGACTTTCCATCTCACGGTGACATGAAGGTCAGGATCTGCAGTGCAGCCACGGGCTGGAT